CCTGAGTCCAAATCTGGCCTCAGACACATAACACTCACTAGCTGTGTGACTCTGGGCAAGTCACTTAACTCCAATTGCCTCACCAGAAAAAAAAACCAAAACAATTAGACTACCAAATACCCAACACTACACCTTGTATAGATGGACTCAGTAAACAGGTGTTGATGATTTAGCCTATGCTAGGTACTAGTCACATGAGTTACAGAGACACAGTTCTTACCCCACTGTAACTCAACTAAGACAGACAATACTTTTACTGTCTCTTATTCCTGGGTCACACTTGTATAGAAGGTAATAACTGCAAACAACTTCAAACAAACAGTGTAACTTAAGAAGTTTCTGTGGTTATGTCAAAACTTATTTGTAGGCTCCAAGTAGAGGCTGAATGACCTGTTGGAGATGTTGTAAAGTTCCAGATGAACTCTGAGATCTCCTTCAACTCTGAAGAGTCAGCAATTCTATTGCTCTAAGGGTATATTTCAGTTGGGTATTTAGAATATATTTTCTTTGTCAAATTTCCACAAGATTGAAATGCTTTAGTTACCAAAGGATCAAAAATGACAATTCAGTACATGTAATATTGCCTCAAATGCTTTTCAGAAAGTTTCCATTCATTAAATTGGCAATATTTTTTTTTTGCAAGTGTTCTCTTGAAAAAAATCAATTACTTCAAATAGAGTTTCCTATTAGAAAAGACAGAGTGGCCAGCTATACATATGCACACATTTACATAACCAAAATTACAGAAAAATAAGATCTTTACGATAACACGCTTTCCCCCCAATACATTATAAACTACACTTAAAATTCCAGTAATTATCCCCCAAAACTAGCTGCTATGGGGAAAACATATGTGAACTTAGGCATAGAGAAGTAAGCAGAACTGAGAAAACAGTATACACAAAGATGATGACTATAACAATGTAAACAGAAGAAACAGTAAAATGAAACTGAATACTTTAGAAAGGAAATCACTAAATAGAAATAACAAGCATTTGTATAGTGCTTACTATATGCCAGGTCCTGTACTAAGCTCATTACAATTATTATTCTCTCATTTGAACCTCATAACAACCCTAGGATATAGGTGCTAGTATTATGACCATTTTACAGATAAGGAAGCTAAGGTCAGCGACTTGTGCAGGGCCATATTGCTAGTAATATCTGAGACCAGATTTAACTCAAGCCTTCCTGACTAAAAGGCCTCTATCTGTTGTGGCACCTAACTGCTCCATTATAATTACAATGACAAAATGTTGCCCATAAGAAATAAGAAAATGTAACTCTCTCCTTTCATTAGAGAACTTGGGGACTATGGGTATCTAATTGTTGAATACACTATCAGAAATGCCTTTTGCTTTTGTTCATTGTCACTTTATTGCTATTTACACATATACTTTCCCCTCTATCCCCCTTTTTTAGAAAAGAAAATCTAGCAGGTTCTAATCTTTATCTGTGTGATTAATGGATAGAGAGTTGGGGAAAGGTTTGGATTTCTGCAGAGAAAGAAATATCAAGTTCCCATAAACAAGAGAGTCTACAAGGTAAAATAGAAAAATAATAGGGGAATATTAATATGCCTCTAGGCCTAGTAGGAAACATTGAACCAACCCCTGGGAAAGGAGAACTATGATACACCCTAAATCCAACAATTAGGAGACATCCATATTCAAGAATTCAAACTCTATGTGTACAAATGTTCCACATGGGCATCTTCCCCTGATAACCTTATACCTTTAAGGAAATTCTCCACTCCCAGATAATATTTAGAAGCATGAAGTATTTGTGAGGACTTGATCAAATATCAATAAACAAAATGTTCTGGATCTAATGAAACAGTCACTTGGATCTGGCTGGTATCTAGAAATATACAGTTGTGGAGGAATTCAAGGATGACAGCCTGGAACTGTGGGGCTAAATGTGTAATCTGTCCGTATCCGTAGGTGCCTTTCAGAAGACTGGCTGATTGCCACTGAGATTGTCATGCATAAGAAACTGGACAGAAAAATTCCTCTAAGTCTGTGGACCAGGAGGTCACCAAGCAGAGTCTGGATGGACTTGTCAGGGCAGTTGGAGTGGGGAATCCTTCTCAGGTCTAGGTTGGATTGTAGTGTAATAGTTGATAGCATACAAACCTTGGAGGAAGGAAGGAAGGAAGGAAGGAGGAAAGGGAGGAAGGAAAGAAAGGAAAGAAGAAACAAGTATTTATTAAGCACCTACTATATTCCAGGCACTGTACTAAGCCTTTACAAATGTTATCTTATTTGAACCTTATAATAACCTTGGGAAGTAAGTGCGGTTATTATTCCCATTTTACAGATGAGGAAACTGAGACAGACAGAGGTTAAGTGAATTGACTGACCAGAGTCCCACTGCTAGTCAAATGTCTGAAGTTGGATTTAACTCAGGTCTTCCTTAGTCCAGGCCTATGCTCTACAATAACAGCTAACATTTGTATCTGGCACTGTTCTAAGCACTTTACAAATATTATCTCACTTGATCCCCACAACAACCCTGAGCAGCTAGGTAGCACCAGGAGTTAGGAAGACAGGAGTTCAAATGTGGCCCAGACACTTACTAGCTGTATGACCCTGGGCAAATCACTTAACCCTGTTTGCCTCAGTTTCCTTATCCGTAAAATGAGCTAGAGAAGGAAATAGCAAACCACTCCAGTATCTTTGCAAAAAAAAAAAAAATCAAATGAGGTCACAGAAAATAGGACGTGCCTGAAATAACTGAACAACAATATTGTATTTACTATGTGCTAGGCACTGTGCCAAACAATTTACAAATATTATCTTCCTTGATCCCCATGACAACCCTGGGAGGTAGGTGCTAGTATTATTTGACAAATGAGGAAACTGAGGAAGACAGTTAATTGACTTGGCCATAGTCACACAACTACTTAAGTTTCTGAGTCGGAATTTAAACTCAGGTCTTCCTGACTTTAAGCCCAGTCACTCTATCCACTGCACCACCAAGCTGCCTGAGAAGACCTAGGTTTACATCCTAGCTCTGACACTTCTCCGAGCCTCAGTTCCTCATCTGCAAAAAGGAGATGATGCATACCTAGCTCACCTGATTGCTGTAGCGTTCAAAGTCAAATGATGCAAGAAAGGTGCTTCACATATTTTAAAGTATTTCTATAAGTTTTCCTTATGATTATTAAGACTTTTGAGGTCTCCTCTGACTCAGATTCTATGAGAAGACAATAGATGACGATAACATACTTCAAGTAAGAGGAAAACCACCTGCTGACTAGCTTGTGTGAGAAATCATTCTGTGGGTAGCTCACCATCTTCCTGGTCTTAGACGTCATATTCCCTCCAGTTCAAGAAATGAATGAAGCTTGAATTTCTCAAATTTCACCCACAGTCTTGTAAAGTGTGTGTGACCCTGGTCAACTCATATAATCCCCCAGTACCTGTGGCACCAAATAGAAGTCGAAAAGCAGGATCTAATTTACATTGAAAGAGGGGGTTTCCTAACACTGAGTTCCCTTCCCCAGTGCAACCGAAAGTCAAAAATGAAAACCAAATCAATGCAACTTATGTCATTTTTGGCTAGCAAGGGCACTGATGATTTTTATTCATCACAAACTTACGGGAGGATATATCTAAACTAGGCTATATCTGGAAGTTCAGTTGACCAGGCGGAGAGATGATGTGGGATGAACATTAAGACAAAAAGGATGTTATTTACCCAAACCTCCATTTTAAAAAAAAGGCTTCCCAAGCCACCCACGTCCCCCTCCTCTCCAGGAAGTGCTCTAGACTCTCTTCTTGGATTTTCCCTACAATGCTCACCCCACCTCCCTTAGCAGCTTACTTTTATACGTTATCTTTCTCCATTAGAATATAAATTTCTTCAGGACCCCTGGCTATCTTTCTTTTTTTTTTTTTTGTTATTTATTGTATCCCCACGCATTCACACCAGCATTCTGAATTTAATAAGCGATTATTGACTTAACTTGACCCAGACCTGGAGAATCTCTCCCGCTTTAGGTGGGCACACTTACGTGCCTCCCCGTCTTCCCTCTCCTTCCTTCTAGTCCCTGCTAAAATCCCACCTTCTACGGGAAGCCTTCCCTGATTTCTCCCTTAATTCTGCTGCATTCCTTCTGCGGATTATTTCCAATACATCCTTGCATGTGACTTGTTGGTATATAGCTGTCTCCCCTATTAGACTGCGAGCTCCTAATGAGTGGGAGATTGTCTTTTGCCTTTCTTTCTGTCCCCAGCACTTAGCACACACAGTGCCTGGCACGTAGTAGGTGCTAAATCAATGTTGACTGATTCTGTTAGACTACGAGCTCCTTGTGAGCAGGGACCGGCTTTTGCCTTTATTTTCCCAGCAATTAGCAGTAGGCACTTAATAAACGTTTATTGACTTATTATCCAATATATCCTGCATATATCTTGTTTGCATTAGACTGTGACCTCCTTGAAAGCAGTCAAATGGGGCTTTTGCCTTTCTTTCTATCGTCCCCCACTCCCCATCCCCGCACTCAGCACACAGTAGGCGCTTACGAAAGGCTTCTCGCCTGAGAGCCGGACTCTCGCTCCACGTGGACCAGCCTCAGCCTCGCTCTGGTCCCGGTCCCGGAGGCGTGGGAGGGAGGGAGGAGGGAGGAGGGAGGAGGGAGGGGGGAGGAGGGCGAGGGAGCCGGCAGGGAGGGAGGAGGGCGGGAGGAGAGAGCGAGGAGAGAGAAAAGGTCAGCCTTCGCGGCGCCCCGCCCAGCCCCGCCCCTCCCGCCTAGTTTCCCTTCTCCCTCCCCTCGCTAGCCCCGCCCCCTCCCGTGCTCCACGCCCGCCCTCTCCGCCAGCGGAAGGAACCGAAAGCGAGGCTGAACGCCTGACGTCAAGGCGACCCAGCCAAACCTCGCCCAGAGTCAGGCGTGGAACGAGCTGGAGCGGCGGCGGCGGCGGAGGAGGAGGAAGAGGAGGAGGGAGGTGGCGGCGGCAGCGGCGGCGGCTTCGGCAGCAGCGGTAAGCCCGGCGACCCACCCGCCTCGGCGGCCGGAGAGCGGACACGGAGACGCCGAGAGAGAGCCCGGCTCTGCGGAGGGGGCCCTCCGGGAGACTCGGTGGCAGCGCCCTGAGTGAGTGGGGGGCCGGCGACGGGGCGGGGAGGAGGCCCGGCCCGGGCGGGGCGCGGACGGGCGGCGGACGGGGCGGCGGGGCTGAGGGAGCCCGGGGCTGGAGCGGGACGCGCAGGTGGCGGTGCCGGCCGGGCCCCCTCCGGAGCCGGGGAGGGACGAAGCGCCGCCGCCGCCTCTGGGGAGCCGCGCTCCTCTCTGCGGAAGGGGTCAAATATCTGAAACATGGCGGAGGAAGTGCGAGCTTGAGGACCCCCCCTTGCACACTCAGTCACACGCACTCACACGCACACCCGCACGCGCCCCCGCTCCTGCCTGCCTGCGGCGGGCGTGGACGGTGCCGGGGCGAGGCGTGTGTCCGCCTCCCGCACCCCCCGCCGCGGCCACCCCCTCCCCCTTCGCGCCGCCGGGGGTCCCACCCCGGGCTGTGGGTGGAAGTTGGAGAGCGGAAACGAGAAAAGTTGTCCTTGGACCGGACGGACAGTCCCCGAATCCGGGGGTGGGAGTGGGAGTGGGAGGGGGCCGGGAAGGTTCAGGGGGAAACCACTCCCCGGCCCCCTCCCTCGGGGCTGCGAGGCTGACAGGGAAGGGAAGGGGGGGAAGTTTCCTTGCGACGGGCTGGTGGACTCGCATTTGTTTCGGGAAGTGGTAGGAGGAAGGCGGCTGAGCGAGCCCCACCTCGTCCGGCTCCGTACCCGCAGCCCGGGGAGAGGGAGACGGACTGATTAAAGGGCCTTCCCTGCCTGCAGCCGGGCAGGAAGCGCTCTCAGGGCGGCCCCCCGCTGGGGGAGACCACCCCACGACGTTCTGGAGCCCCGCGCGCTCCTTTGCTCTTTTTGCCTTCCCGGGGTCAAGCCAGGTGAAACCCGAGCTCAGGAGGCGCCCCGAGAGGCCAAAGCAGCCCCTGCCCTCAAGGAGCGCGCAGTCTGGGGGGAGGCACTGTGCAATAAACTGGGATTCTTCTCAGCCTTGAAGTAGGGTGTTTAAAACTGCCCCAGTAGAGCTGGCCCACTTTTTTTTTCTTTTCTGGATATCCTTTGAGCAAAGTACTGCACTTAAGTCAACATTTATTCAGTACCTACTATGTGCCAGGCACTGGAGATATTCAGAAAAGCAATGCCTGCCCTCCAGCAGCTCACAATCTAAGGAAGATGCAATAAACTATGATTCTTCCTAGCCTTTGAAGTAGGTTATTTAAAAACTGCTCCAGCAGAGCTGGCCCACTTTTTTTTTTTTCCCCTAGATATCATTTGGAAAAAGTACCGAACTCTCAAGTCAACAAGGGCTTATTAAGTGTCTGCTATGTATCAGGCTCATGCTTGATGCTGGGGATACTAAGAAAAGCAAGTTCTGCCCTCAAGGAGACCACAATCTAAAGGGGATATAATAAACTCTGATTTTTAAAGGCCTGAAGGGAGATGGGTTGTGGTGGTGTTTTTTTTTTTTTCTTTCCACAAATGGATGTCCTTTGGAAAAAGTACTGCACTCTCAAGTTGTCAAGCATTTATTAAACACCCATGTACAGTAGACCCTCTGCTAGGTGCTGGAGATATTAAAACCAGTTCCTACCCCCACCATATAATGAGAATGCAATTAACTATTATTCTTCAAAGCTTCAAAATAAGGTTTTTTAACCCACAATCATTCTCTCCCCCCTCCCCCCCAAATGGATGTCTTTTGGAGGAAGAGCTGTTCTTAACATCAGGAAAGTTTTTGTTTCTTTGGAGACCTACCACTAGATTTTTGTATAGGTAAGCTCCTTGCTAGTAGGATTGTTTTTTGTTTGTTTGTTTTTGTAGCCATAGTGCCTGGTACCTAGTAGACTTTAATAGTTGATTGATAGATTTAGCTTAATACTTTTCTTCTTCCTGTTTAGATAAACATTATCAGTTTGTCAAAAAAAAACTGATGTCCCAATCAGAAATTAGTAACTTCAGCTTTGTATGTTCCTTTAAATTAAGTCATACTAAACTTCATTTTTGTATCAGTGAGAATTTTTTTGGAATTATACCACACTGTGTTTGAGGGGTTTTTGGATATAAGTATGGCTTTGTAAATCCATACCTCACTACAAGTGGGGACCCCCTCAACCATTTGGAACCTATTTGTTTGTAACTACCCTGCTTTGTACCTATAAAGTCTTTGGAATTTCATGCAAGTTATCCTAGCAAGAAATGATGCACAAAAGAAAAAGAATGCCTTTTACTCCCATATAAATGTTTCTAAGCTGACTCAAGGGTTGCCCTTTGGATATTATTTTGGTACTCATAAACTTCAGAGTTGGAAGAGACCTTGGAGTTTTCTATCTAGTACAAGCCCCTCATTTTCCAGATAAGGAAAAGATACCTCTGAGTGAAGTGACTTATTCAAGGTCATACACTGAATGCCTAACTTAAAAGTGCTGGCTTTTTGTTTCTCCCCTACCAAAAAGGACAGAATAACAAATTCTGTCTGACAAAAATGTCTGACAAGTAGGTTTGTAGATTGGAGAATTGGAAGGTTGGCCATGTATAAATTAGAGAGCTCTTGTCAGGGAAAGCCTGGAGAAGGGCCTTGAAACCCAGAAATACACAATTAAATCCTGATGTATCAAATCAGGTGGCCCCGCACATGGAGGTGACTGACATAAAAGAAATAGCACATTGGAATCAGGTCTGAATTTATGATTTTACAATTTCATTGATGTGGGGAATTCCTGAATAAGGAAATGGCCTTGATTTATGCAGGTCTGCACTTTTTCTTCAGCGTAAGTTCAGAGAGTTGCCCAGGATTGCCCGGTCACATGTGTGGCTCCAGATTCAGTCCTCTTTCCACTTGGCTGCCTCCTCTTCAGGTGGGGAATGAAAGGAGCTTCCCTATTTGATTCTGGGATAACTGCTAGCAGCTTAAGTGGGGAGGCAGATGAAGACTTGGATGCAAAATCTCTTGCCTTTGTTTAAAGTGCTTTAAAATTTCAAAATGCTTTCCATCTATGTTTGTATTTTATCCTCACAGTAATGCTGTGGAATTAGTGCCAGGTGACCTACTCCTGTACTAGGTGAGTTGTGATGGAGAGTCAGAACAACAGAAAAATCTGAGCCATATACTTGAACATCTTAACAAGCCATAGCCAATGTAAAAATTCATAATTTGCAACTAGTAACATTAAATTATTATTCTCAGTCTTTGGTAACGCCTTAAATTTGATGAAATTGAATAGGAAACTAATGTTCAACTCTGCCATATTTGTCTTTAATTACAATCTTCTAAACAGATTTGGTGTTTGACTAATACAAAAATTACAAATGAACTTTTAGCATAGGTGAAAACACCTATTGATTTGTTTCTGGCTTGTGTTTTTCCTTAATGACACTTATTACACACTTCTATGTCTATTCATATTAATGCCAGAGGATTTTCTCCCTTGTGCTTACCATCCTTCTGCCCATACCTTCCCCCTCTTAACCTCCAAGTTATTGTACTCTAGATTTCTGTACCACTGGAAATACCTTGATACTTATAATGAAAGCATTCAAAGTGCTTGAGTCCTTTATGATGGTGCTTTGGAATTTTGCTATAACACGTACTAGTGATATTGGGGCAGAAGACTGGCCTGCTTGCATCCCTAACCAAAGGGGTTCAGTTGGTGAGGGTGCAAAAGGACCCTATTATAAACTGTGACACAATTTTTGAGTTTTTCTTTTTCCTGTTTGAGGGATTAGATGGCCATGAGGATTAGTGAGGCTGAGAGCTTTTACCTCCTAGCCAAACTTGTTGATAATTTCCCAGGCCAACTAGATTAATAGTTGGAAGTACAAGCCTGGGAACTGACTTTTTCTTGACTCTTTGAAAGGTCAGTGTAACGTCTATAAATACATAAATTTGTTATTTTATCAACTTTCTGAACTACATTACATAGGACAGTATTGATAAATAGCAGTTTACCATTTCAGAACTTTTTTCCTTAAAAAGAAAATCTGTAGGCTCAATTAAATTTATAGCATGCCAAGGTCTTATTACTTCAAAGATTAGAATTTATGATGGCACCCTGAGATGATATTGAGTTAGAAGATACCACAAGATCATCTAATTCAGCCCCTCTCATTTTATAGATGAGGAAATCTAGGCTAAGAAACTGATTGAGATGTTGGGCAAGTAGGTAATGAGCAAAGGGCAAAAGCTAGTATTCCAACCTTAGTCCCTGGACTCCCAAGCCAGTACTCTTTCTATAGTCATGCTGCCTCCTCCTTCTGAGATATATTGAACTGCTTACTGTACAAGAGTCAAAGACTCTTTGATTTGAGATTTTTAGAAGTGTTATGAAGTTGTCTTTTGTGGAGAATAGTTTTGTATGGAACCAAAGTAATATTCCAAATAAAATCACTTTGTATGCTTCATAGGTGACTACTGCTAAGTAATCTTAATGCATTCCTTCAGCCATGTCACTTTTCTGTTTAAAGACCTTCAGTAGTGGGTTCCTAGTGCCTTTTTGAATGTAGCATAAATTGCTTATTCTGATAATCAAGGCCTTTCATCTTGCTTGAACCTACCTATCCAGTTTATATTCTAGCCAAATCGTACGATTCTCTAGCCTCCTTTTAAACCCTGTTGTCTGTCCAAAATCCTTTTTTGGGGTTCCCTCTCTCATTTAACTGAAATCTCTCCCTTCCTTCAAGACCTAACTATTCTGTACCGTCTCCTTCTTGAAGATTTCCCTAAGAAACCCTCCTCTCTCTCAAATTTCTCACAGTACTTTGCTTGGATATATTATATGTACTTGTCTCACTCTACCTTATAGCTAAATTATTTGTACCTCCTCTATATGTTAGATTGGTAAACTCCTTAGTCAAGGTAGAGTCTTGCCTTGTCTAATATTCCCAGCATCTAACATGATGTTTTGTATACGTTGGGCACTTAATATATCTTTTAAATTGAATTTCATTTATTCTCAAGCTTCCAGCCACTATAATATTACTGTTGGTATCTAGCTGTTGTGAAGGTCAAACATGCTCTGTATGTCTCTA